TGAGAGTACTGTACAGTACAATACTTTATCTTCCATAGCAGAGAAACACAATAATCCGGCAAACAAACAATTGTTCCCCAAAGTGTGCCTCTGTAATACATCAAAATTTTTCCTGAAAAAAATTCAGCGGACAAATATCCCAGCTAACAGAAATTTCCCTGGAATGGATTGTATATTTTTGAACAAATGCATTACTATGACAAGAAATTGAATATTTCTGACCACCATGCATGAAATATTCTTCTTTTGTGAAGAAAGAAAAATTGAATTTGATTATGTAATACTGTAATGCATATGTGCTTGCGAGTGTATGAGACCCAGGCAGGTGATCATCTCGCAAGCCGGCACTTTGTACTGACACCCTCCTTCGCTTGAGCGTTGCCTGTGCTGTATCCTCTCCAATGACGCACTACGCAACCAGAGAGGGACATGCAAGAGGTTGCGTAGCAACTAGCAACACAGCTGTTTCTGGGCCGCCGTGTGTCTTGCACGTGAGTCCTGTCCGTCAGTCCTTTCGAAGCACGCGCGCACTGATTCAAATCGTGGAGTTCCAATTCAGTCTACACTATCCTATTGTACTTTAAAGCCTCGTTTAGAAAGCAAATGTCATTGTTATACGATAAAAAGCTCTTTTAAGGTGGAAGAATTCGAGTAAAATCGTGACGTTTATAGCCAAAAATTTGGATTCCATGTTAATCTCATAGACCAAGTTATGTATAGATTGTAATCTGAATTGTTCATAGTGCAGGTAGACTTTCTCATATGATTTTCTCTGTAAAGAAAATTTTTTGGTCCCACAGGATTCTCTTCCTAGAGGTTCTCTACAACTAATTGTGTTCATCATATTTTGTTGTAAAGAGTTCACCTACTGTATAAATAAGAGGTGTGCATGACACAATGCTATGGTATAGAATACAGTACAGGTGGACTCACTCTGCTGAAAACTTGTATTGAATACTCTACCCTGTAGAAAAAAAACATTCCTCATTGGATTCTCTCTCCATATTTTAAGGGTTCTCTGCAATGGATTCCTTTCTGCAACTCATTTTTTCCATGATGAATGTTTGTCTGGTCTTCTGAATTTTTTGTAGAGAGATTCCCTTGTAAGCATAATCGTGGCACGGAGAATGTTCCTACACAAAAAATTTTGGGATACCTGAAAGATTTTTTCAAGTAGATTTGACTTTTTTTTTAAGTACCACTGCTATACCAACCTGACCACCCCACTCCCATTCACCAGCAGAGGAGGAAAATGACTCATCGTATCTTCAAATGAGCTGAAGAGTTTGATACAGTTTCGCATCATAGAAAGAGTGCCTGTGAATAAAAAAGAATTTGAAACACATTACGAGACTAAGGGGAGAGGAACATTTGGATTCAACGTTTCGTGTTGCCACGTATTTAACGCATGCTTATATCAATGAAGCTCGGTGCTCACCGAGAAGACGGACAGACACACAGCAGAGTCTATGGGATATTATTCACATCGCTGTTCTCAGATACCCGTGAAACGCTTTTGACGGTGCATGGACTAAAAATGTGTTTTCCAGGGATTTCCTGTCCTTATCTATTTGGATTTGTGTGATATTTGAACCCTCTGACTATCGAATTTTTGGCTCTGTTTGTAAATACATGTGAACGCCTTTTTCCTAGCAATAAGCAGTGCTGGAGTGACGTCGAACTCGAATGCGCGTGTTATCGATTCCTTTGTGTACAACAACAGTTCGATGTCGTCACAGCATATCTTTATGTAGAAAAAAATTGCTTTTGAGGTTCTTTCAGTTTATAGACAGAATTTTATTGAAGACTCATTTTGAAGAATTTTCCGTTTAACCGAAGATTTCTCATCATTATGGGATTCATTCTGCGTGTTCCTCAAATGTTGAGGTTATAAAATGCTAGTGGAAATGATTGTGAAATGGAGGGTTTTCGAAAAAAAATTTCCATGGTTTGCGTGAGCGATTTTTTGCATAATTAATGATGAGAGTAATAAATTTGCTCACGCATATCTTCATAGAATTGCAATAAACGTCGATCACATATTGTTTCTTCCTGCTGGTGAATCCGCAATTGCTGGAGTAATCCGATTGACTGTTTTTTTTTATATTTCTTCCTACAGCCTATAATTATTTAAGTTATAATTTGATATATTTTATGACGGTCGTGAGCTTCAACAAAGGGGTAACAGTTACTTTTAATGTCCTTCCAATAGTCGATACAGTTACAAAAGCACGACAGCAAGTACTGTACAGTACTGTACATCAAATTTTTGCGTCAAAAAATAAATCTCTTGGATGCTACAACTTGTTTTTCAAAGGGTTCTTTTGTTGAGTTAAATCTTATTTTAATAAGTAAAATCACGTAGTATATCTTAATCATTTTATGGACCGCCAATATTGTTGCGTAAGGGAGAAAATGTCTCAAAATTCGGCACGATCGTTTTTAGAATAAATTTTGTAATGAACGTGCATTTCAAAACTGAGAAACAAATTTTGAAGATTGCATCACTTCTCTCTGTGATTTTCAGCATACTTTCTGATGATCTTTTCTATAATTTGAGTGCCTCTGGGTTTCTGCTGAAAACTAATTACAGTACTGTATACGTGCATAAAGTGCATTCGAACGAAAATCAAATTCTGGCATCCATTAAAATTAATGGATTTTTTCTTTTTTTCTGATGAAACTGCGCTGATCAGTAAATTTCGAGTAATTATCCCCTTTTTCGTGCATAGGTGATTTTAATCATTTTTTTGTAATTTGGACTGTAGTCTCCAAATAAAAAAATAGACGATCTATTTTTGAAGGAGTCTTGGAAATAATGATGCATTTTTACATCATTGCTGTGAAATGGAAGTAACTCGCTGACCTTTGGCTTGAACACAGAGCCAACTTCCCCTTCCTTGTGGCGCGATTATTCTCTCAACCAAATCGGCCAATTTATAATTATTACGTACAGTAATTCAAAAAATGGTTATATTTTACAAACGCTGTGTTCATTAAAACTTGAAATCAAAATACTATACAGTAGAAACATAAATGTTGAAAAATCACCACTGTATTTCATTTGCTGCCTAAACTGTGTGCAACATTCTAATTGTTATTTATACTGCTTTTAAATGCAATATAGGCATCAAAAACAGTTAATTGTCAGCTTTAAAATATGTTAATGTCACTTTTTCTCATAGAACATAATTGTGAACCTAACCATGATGTGAAAAACAAAGTTTTGTCATTGGTAGCCACCCTGAATTGATCCTCTTTTGTTTTTGGATTTTTTATTAAATTATATTTATTGCCATCCTCNATTTAGTGCCACAAAATGTCCTGGGATGATGTTTGGTGGCACTAAATCGGAATTTGACTGTATAATCATTTATGTGCATATATAAATGTGTGGAAAGAAACAGCGGAGCTTTAGGTGTATATATTCGCGTATGAACGCAGTTCTTTCCCCTGACGATGACGCACATTGGAAAAGTAAAACCACTCACATGTCGAGCACATCCACGAAAAGAAAACTTCTGGAAACAAAAACGCGAGGATTATTTATAGAACGCTATTCCCTGACATGCGTCTCTCTTCTTCGTCTTCATTTCTGCTCTTTTTCAGGTGATCCATTTTCTTTTCTTTTTTCTAAAATGATTTTTATTCGTTTCGTCCCTCTGACTGAAACGCACACGTGAATTTCATTATCCCTCGGTATTTTTCCCCACCTGATGAGTCGTTATTTCGGAGAGCAGTCGTGAATGTGATGGGAAAATCGTGGAAATATGCAGATCGACTCAATTTGGAAGTAAAAAAACATTAGATTTTTTTTTACTCCGAATTTCATGGGATCATTGGATTTTATGGCATGAACTGCTCAGGTGCTTTGTAAACGGACCAGATGTTCTCCTTGATTTTTTTAAAGCCGAAAGTACAATTTATTTGCACAACAAATTTCATTCACATGTTTGAGCTTGTGAATTTATAAATACTGAATTTTTTATTCGTTCGCCGTCTCACTTTGCATTTTCTAATTGCGTAATCATCGGAATTGACAGGGCTTGCAGCTCTCATATAATTTTTTGGTTTTCCCAACTAATTTTTTGAAGAAAAAAATCAAGCTTTTTATATGATTTAATGCGCTCAATTTAACTTTCGGAGATTTGTTTTAAAATGCATAAAATCTGGATGAAAACGCCTTTCTAATGAAATATTTGGAAATTTTTTGTTTTAATTTATTTTAAAATGCATAAAATCTGGATGAAAACGCCTTCCTAATGAAATATTTGGAAATTTTCTCTTGGATCATGATACAGTATTCTCCCGTGCTCAAATTGTCGAGGAAAAACTCTGGGATCCCAGCATATAATTGCAAAGAAAAATCGTAATACTGTAACGATGTTTTGTAGAGATGTCTTACTCCGAATGAATGGGATTTTTTTAATAATGAGAATGAAATTTCAGACACGGAATACTTTTGTCAGGGTTCATTCACTGAATTGGCCGCCAATCAAATTAATTCGGTCCTTCTGTCCTACTTGTTTTTTCATGAAACCACGATAAGTAAAAGATGTAAAAATCCAAATGTACTCAATGGATTAGACCCGAAGAATTTTATTCCCATACAGTATTTTTCTTTCCATGCTGTGCGTCACTCAGAATTTATTATTTTATTCTTCAAGTATTTCGGAACGCTTTTCAAGATAAACGTTCTTCCTTTTTTCCCGAAAATAATGTGAACATTTGCTGTCATTTCCGCAAAGAAATGTTGTATCATTAAGCATCAAGATAAACTTCATCATTCTCAAATGTCAAGGGAAATATTTGCACATCCCTCGAAAATCTTAACTCTCGTTTTTTTATTTGCTGAACTTATTTTCTTGAATTTTGTGGTGGAGTTACGGAAGCTGATTCGTGCCTTATTGAAGAAAAGTGATGATATTCTCAAAAAATGTAGATCCAATGTTGTTCGACATTTACAATATAAAATGTTTATAGCACTTGTTTATATGTTTGTTTTTTGTGGAAATTATCAGGAGAGCTCTTTGTGTTCGCCGGAAGTTGTTGTGATGATGATGACGTGCCGAGCTTTATGTTGACTTTTCACCACGCACCGATCGATCTCGCAAAAGTTCATCGGGTAAGCTTGAAACAAAATTTTTGCATTGCCATAAACCAGTGGCAACAATAACAAAAGGACCGTGCCTCAAAGCATTCAATCCATGGAAAATTTGCACGAGTTATTCGGCGACTCGGAAATCCGCTCGAAGCCTCGGACCAAAAACAAAGTCCTTTTCCCGCGCAACAACAACAATGCAACCAACTGCTGCAATAATAAGAAAAGTGCGAGACGTCGGTTGTCCAAGGAGACAATCAGCAATAATACAGACAATCAGCAGCAAAGACCATCAGCAGTTGTGTCCGAGAGTGTGGAAACATGTGAGGACGACAGGATTGATTGGGCACCGCTGGAATCTCTTCCGCCGGAACCGGAAGTCGGCAATGTGGAGTACAAACTCAAGCTTTTGAATCCCACTCGTGTCCGGTTTGAGCATCTCGTTACTCAGGTATATATAAATAGTAAAGTGTATTTTGTTGTGTTTGCTGTCTTATTTCCCCCAACACAATTCTTCTTCCATGTTAGATGAAATGGCGCCTGCGAGAGGGCCAAGGAGAAGCAATTTACGAGATCGGAGTAGAGGACAATGGGACATTATCGGGTCTTGGGGAGCATGAACTGGAGACCAGCTTGGACACCTTGTCCCTGATGGCGTCCCGTTTAGGCGCCACTGTGAAGGTGTTGAGGCAACGAAATTCCACCTGCCGGACGACTGGCGAACTTCGGTTCTCAGCAGAAGTGCTCGTCAGAAAGGTACGTACACTTCATTCTCTTAAAAAATTTAACTTGTTTTATTTGTCTTGCTGCTCTTCGAGACCCTTATGTAGAAGATAAAATGAAACTTTTGGTATTTTCACACAAATTGACAAAAGCAGCACTGCTCGCGGGATTCGTGTTTTTGAAAATCACACAGAAATATCTGACTGAACAGATGAATTGATCCTTAATAACTCAATCACCCCTCATAATATAGTCAACTATACCTCGCTAGGTCACATTTTTTAAAAGCCCGTCTGAATTCCCTTCGAAAAAATCCGTTATAAACTTCCCCAACTGTAAATCTCTGAAGCCATTTGGCTAGTATATTGTATCAACACAGGAAGCAGAGAAGCACTGAGAATTTAGTTTATTGTGCTTTTGAAAAGAATTGAAAGTATAATTGGGCAAATGATGAATCCTT